ACTAAAAAAAAAAAACCGAAGACTCTGGCAATTCCAAGACTTCTTTTGCCCTGAAATTGCATGCCTCCTTAGGAATGGAAGTTGGGCACGGGTGGTCGAGGGACGGTTGCCTCAACATGGCATCCTACCCTCTATTCCCACTATTTATATATCAAGAAAAAAAATTTGTCAGCTTTCTCGTTCAATCCAAATCAGGGTATTCCCTAAGAAGGTCAAATTTTGAATCATGATTGGAACTTCAACCTAAGATTCAAGCCGATCCTTTTCTCATAAGATCCAGTTTTGGAAGAAAATTATAGGAAAATAGTCGTACATTGAAAGTAGATGTCACAGATATCAGACCCTCTTGATCACCACAGTCCATGATGGGGAGTGGATGGTGGATGTCAGGGTGGTTTACCAACTCCTAACTCATCATAGAAATTAACAAGTCCTTTTCTTTTAATGTAAGAAATAAGAAGTCACATTATATTCCCTATATTCTCTGACCTAATAGACATGATAAGTGACAATTTGTTTTCTTATTGGCAAACACAATCTAACGGCTGTTATGGAACCACGTGGAACCACTCAAAATGTAGCAACTTGATTCAAATTAAGATGAGGGAATGTTCTCTCTCTTGGCAAGAGAGGATCATGGACTCCCAAGACTAATGTGTGGTTCTTATTTATTACGTCACTGGTTTAGGATCTGTTTGGATGGACCCTAAATGGATTTAGTCCTGATATATTGCTTTGCCTGACCGAGATTAGACCTGCAACTTGCTCGCGTGGATCGCTATTAGAAACCTTGTTCGTATGAAAGAATAATATCTCTAGTGCACTGCATACACCCAAACTGAGCTTTAAACTCCCCCTAAAATTCACCAAAGTGATCTCCTAAAATTCACTAAAATTCATCATCATCATTATCCAAGCTTTATTTTAATTATTTGGGGTCGGCTACAAGAATCATGTCCATCATTTTACTCTATCAAGACCCATACTCTTATTAAAAACAAAGCAATGATTATGGCGGTAAAGAGAAACTTTTGAGTTTTTTTTTTTTCTTCTCTTTTTTTTCCTTTTTTTTTTTTTTGACCGGTTAACTGTGGGAATGGAAGGTCGAATGTTAACTCAATTAATATCATCAAAGGTATCAACCCATTTCTTTTTCTATGTTCTCAACATGATAGAAATGAATAAATTAACATCAAACCTTTTATGTGTTTTGGAAAAATTGCACTTTATGTTTCTTCCCAATATCTGTTTCGTAAGTGGTGAACTTTTTTAATGTTAATCATTACCTGTCAATGTAACTCTTGCTTGGTATGTACTATGTAGAAAGATATACATAGAAAGAAAGAAATACAATACCACATAGATAGAAAGAGTAGATAGTTAACTGAGTTTAAATTAATAAATTCACACCTAAATTTTTCCTAAATGCAATTATATTTTACGCCTTTTCCTTGGTAAAATTATGCATATGGTGATTCAAAATAAATATTCACATCCAGCCCCGAAACCCAAAAATAGTAAAGTTGAGGCGATTAACCCATAATGTAGTGGGATCGTATACTATGAGACTATTTATTTTTAGTACAAGAAGGTCATAATTTTTTTAGCTATTGGATGTGAAATCTAACATATTTAAATGTATCATAGATTTTGAGAATTTTTTTTTCAAACTTTGTGCTCAATTACTGACCTGTCAACACCCATCCGATTTCTCATCCAAGTGTTGACAATGATTGTGACCTTCTTCTATAAAAAAAATAAATGATCTCATCATATACATTTCCTAATGTAACTCTATGTCTATATCCTCATCTTTTGTAGGTAAGGAGATGTCCATATTCATTGAATAACCAACTTAACGTGCACGTAGTTGTTATTTTGTCAAAGCATAGTATTACAGATGTGCATTAATGGTGTCATTAGTGTGAAACGAGAAGAAGAAACAGTTGTGCCTTGTTTGGCATGTAATAAGGACGTAAACGGGTTCACACGGCAGCGTTTGCATTAGACCATGACCCAACCCATTGGGCCAGTAGCTTTGGCCGACACTTATATTTATATATTATATTAATGGAAAATGGTTTCATAGGGCTGCAGCCTTATCAAAACAAGTAAATCCTCATCTCATAACTCATAGAAAATTGCAAGGTAAGCATTGGAAAACTTTTGCATCGATCATTTTGATTTGAGCATTATGGTGATGAAAAAAAAAAAAAGGGATTTTAATCTCCAAAAAATAATGTATATTATAAAAAATTATCTAAACCGTCTATTTGGCTTTAAAAATAAGATACAAAAAAAAGAGGTTGTTTTAATTTTTTTATTTTTTTAGTCTTTTGTTTATTTTTTTAGTCTTTTGTTTATTTTTTTTAAGAATAGGAAGAGAGATAAGATAAGTTACAATGGTAGGAATCGGGTGAGTTGTTAAGACAATCTTGGGGATTAGATTAAAACTAATTTTAGAAATATAATTGTGGTAGGAGATTTAGTTAGATTTAAATAGATACAGATTTAGATAGGAGAAAAATAAAAGATTTAGATATGGGAAAAATATATAGGAGAGACAAAATAGGAAAAAGTGGATAGGAGAGAGATAATTATATTTGTAAAGAGGAGAGAATGAAAATTGAATAAAATTGATCTTGTGAAAATATCTAAATAAAGAAAAATTGTCTTGTGAAAAGATCTGAATTGAGCTTAATTGAAAAAAATTGATATTGTGAAAAGATCTGAATTGAGTAAAGTTAATTATGTAAAAGATCATAATTGATATTGTGAAAATATCGTTTTGGGGTGGACTTCTTTGAGGACCTTGAGAGATGGTATATTCTTTCGATTATTAGTTTTTTTATTTTTATTGTTCTAATTTCATTTTCTCCCTACATCAATAACTGTTCTAATTTCATTTTCTCCCTACATAATTTTCCAAATGAGGATTTGAGGTGAAGATTTATTTTGTTTTTATAATGCCGAGGCCTTATAGAAACCTCATCATATATTAATTATGAAAAGTTTTTGTCATTAAGAAGGTTGATGTAATAACATACATCTAATGGCCTCAATTCAATTTGAGCTGATTAGATAGGTACAGTTGTATTTCATCACTAACTTTTAGTTTTCTTTATACAAATCCAAATTATTTGAATTTTTTAGAGTCTACTTTGAAAAATAGATGCACTTGAAAAAAATATTAAAAGGTAATTTATAAAAATGAATTATACTAAAATACCTCTAAAATTTTTAGGGGTATTGAGGTTAATTTATTTTGGAAAAGTATAGAATGAGACAATTTACCTTTTGTACTAGGTGGTCACATTAATCTTGTCCATTGGATGTGAAATTGGATGGCTGCAAGTATTTCATTGACCAAGTTCAAACTTCAAAAAAAAATTTCTCGAGTTTACTGATCTATCTAAACTATTAAATTTCACATCAGATAGTTGTAAGTAATTGTGATCCCATTGTATAAAAGGCTAATTGGTCTCGTTGTATACGATCTTTTTTATTTTTTAAATTATTTTTTAATATTTTTAGTAGGTATTCTTTAATAAGAAGACTGAATGCTTTAAATTTTAAGATATTTAAATTAACAAAAAATTTATTAAAATTTAAATATCAAATGTAACTATGATCGTCAGAGCAGTCCAAATTTAATGAAAACCGAGGCTCAGAAACTTTGAGTGGACGGAACAAGTGTAAACCGGGATCCAAATGGGGCCTACACTAACAACAACACAACAAATACGCTTCGGCTTGTGCCATTGGTTTGATCACCGCCAAATTAGTATTTCGTTGAATAGTCATGGGGATAGTGGGACCCAAAATCATGTTCTATTGAGAATCATTTTCTCTTTTATCATCGTCCATCTACTATTTAGACTGTGGTAACACTTGTGATTATAAATAGCACATATTACCTGTGAGAATTTTCTCTTACTTAAATTTGAACCCTAACAATCTTGAAAAACGTTTATACAAAGGCCAACCTTATAAGGTTGCGGTCATTTTAATTGGATGGTATATTATTGATATTGTGTAAAAAAAATGTCTTCGAACTAAAATAAATAATGTAGAACATCACAACAATTTTAGTAGAAAAATTACCACTTTATATAAACTATGTCTAATAATATAGGATTGTATACTATGAGACTATTTATTCTTAGTATAATTGGTGTAAATGAATCGTAACATTTTTAACCAAACCAGAATCGACTGGTTCAAATTGAGAAATATCAGGGCAGATCCAGTTCTACTTAAACATCGGGAACCAGTCGGTCGATTCAATAAGAGAATCCTGCTTTATTTTTTGACATTTTTCAAATTTTTTGTCCTTTATTTTTTCAAAAATTTTATTCATCACTTAATTAGGTCGGATTGTCAATTCGGGCTGTTTTTTGGCGGGGATGATCTAGGATACGGAACCTTATTTTTAAATAAAGTAATTATCCTATACGATCCTCCTCCATCCATGTATGTAGGACTCTAAAGGATCACCATTAAAGTTGACACATATCTCTAGAAAAGTTATCATATGGTGTGAAATTTAACTTTTATAGAGATTCGTATCAACTTTAATGGTGATTTTTTGAAGACCATACACACTTTAATGATGATATTTTGAGGGTGGATCCTATAAGATCATCTTTCTTTTAAATATTGCTTTTAACCTTAGACGTGAAATTTAATAAATAAAAATATGTTATAACATTATATAGAATTTATTTTAGTTTTTATAATCACGACGCATCCTTAACCATCAAATTTCAGATCGGATAATCAGATAACAATGTGAAACACAAAATTGTCGATCCGTCTTGACGAGGAGGATATGTGAGGACAATTTAAAGGTCGCTCCTCGTGGGCTCTACAGCCAACTGATGTTTCCTTTTCCGTGCTAGTGCAACGTTTCCGCGTTAATCCACATGATTGTGACACGTGTCTATCTATAAAACCCTATACACGTGGCAACATAGGGTGAACCTGTAAACTACACGAAGCCGGTTAAGGGAGTGTGAGGTTTGCGATTTTACGTTTTCGTTCACCTCTGTATTTTCGTTTTCATTATACATTTTGGATTAAATTTTCATTGTTCTAGTTCTTGTTTTTGCATTTTCGACCATCTCATGGCTTTTCGTGGAGGGTGTATTGTGGTTTTGGGGTTCTCTATTTTTCTTCTGAGCGTTTCATCTGAGTACGTACGGCCACGCCCTCGAAAAACACTTCGAATTCTACCAGAAAAGGACCAGGATAAGCAAACGCCTCAGCAGGTAAATACCTTAATCTTATTCATTCTTTTGTTATTTTGTGATTTCGAAGGTTTTGAATAATTCGTTTTCCAAGTATTGTTATGTAATTTTTTTAGAAGAAAAAGCATCGATGGGTTTTTATATTGTTTTGTTATTGTTTTTGGTGCACGCAGTTTTGGGTTTTATTGAATTAGTTGACTCATTTGATCAAATACAAAATAAGATGCTTTCTTCCTTTTGTGTATTTGTTGTTGCTGTAAATGGAGGTAGTTTAGGAACTCTGTATTTTATTTGCTTTTCTAGGTTTTTTAATATTTTGTGGGGCTTAGGGCGCAATTCTCGCTGTTTTGTCTTTTATTTATTTTTCTCTATTTTAATAAAATAAAAAAGCTGGTTTCTTTAGTTGTTTCTCTTGGCGATTATTTTGCCTTTTGTTTACGTATGAGAAACTGTTTGTGGATTAACAAGAGGATACACAGAGGACCTCTGTAAATGAAACGTAGAATCTCAAACCTTGCAGAGTTTCCAATCTTTCTCTCTCTGTGGGGTAGTTTTAGTATGTACGTTTGGTATTATGGCCGGGTCTAAGGGGCTTCTGGTCAATATAGATGCCTCTTTTTATCTAATTCTAGCTCGATTTCTTTACTTTTTGGACTCGACTGGAGTTCATGTAAGAGTAACTCATATGCGGACACAAATTTAGGAAAATAAGAAAAGTAATGATCTTATCATACCCTCTCACACCATGTACACAGGACCCCAAAAGATCACAATTAAATTTGAAAAAGTTAAAGTTCTCCACCCAATAATTTTTTTTAAAATTTAGTTGTGATCCTTTGGGTTCGGGGAAGAGAGGGTCTGTCATTTTCCATATTTATAATGTGTTAATTTTGGGCACCGTTAACCCACATTTTTTAAAATTTTTCAAACTTACCTTAGAGCCCGGAGATGCCATCCTCATACCGCTATTTAATTTTATTTTTTTTGTTTGTTTTTAGGACTGATTTTTAATCTATTTTTTTAAGTTTTTTTTTGTTTGTAGGGTTCACTTTACTTCGTCCAAAGAGCTGTCCGATGTCTCCATCTTCGGACCGCTCTTTAATTCCATAAAAATTAAACAAAGAGCTATGAGGATGGGGACCGCAGACAACTTTAAAACAGATTTAGGGCTCACAGCCGGTTCTAGAGCGGTCTGATGTCCCCATAGCTGGACCGCTTTGGAACTGAGCAAAAATTAAAATGTGGCACAATGATAATTAAAATGTGGCACAAGGATGGTACCCTGACCGTTAATTTTGGAGATGGATGTTTTACACTTTTTGAATGTGGTCGGTCCAGCCCGCATGAAACAATTTTCCTTTGAATTTTGCCTAAAATTAGCCTAATTTCGTCCTTTCCTATTTATTTGTCTTGTTTTAATGACAAATGAGAGAGAGCAAGAGAAAGAGAGAGTCAATGCACGGCCTGACACTTCTGGCTTCTATGGAGAGAGAGAGAGGTTTGTAGAGCCTAAGGAATGTTGCTCTTATATTTTTGCTAAACTTTAGTGGCACTAACTTCATCCTACTTTGTCAAAAATAAGAAGATTTGAAAAAGTCGTTTTGAAGTTTCTAATTACTTTTTTTTTAAAATTTTTTTTTGAAATTACCATTCTGAGAAAATTTTTATTTCCAGTGTGTACGACTTCACGTGACTTATTTTTCTCTTTTCTTTTTGTTTTTCTATTTTCGGGCAGGTGCATATTTCACTAGTAGGCAATGACAGGATGAGGATCTCATGGATAACTGACGATGAATCCACACCGTCTGTTGAATATGGAACGTCATCTGGGATATACGATGCATCGGCAACCGGAAATACGTCTACATATTCTTATGTTTTGTACAAATCAGGCCAAATACACGACGTTATTATAGGTCCTTTGAAGCCCGAGACCGTTTATTTCTACCGCTGTGGTGGCTTTAGTGGCAAGGAGTACTCCTTCAAGACCCCACCCTCTAAGCTTCCCATCAAATTTGTTGTCGTAGGTTAGTATTTACCATTTTTTTTTTTGTTACTTCTCTTTATACATTTACCTAAAATCAGATTGAAATAACTTAAAGGTGACTCAAAATATTTCGAGTAAGCTCAAACAAGCGGGCTGCAGTTAGGGGTGGCAACGGGTCGGGTACGGGTCAGGTCTGGATGGACCCAGACCCAGACTTGAATAGTATTCAGGTCCAAGTTTTGGACCCAGACCCAACCCGTCGGGTCCAAAAGTTGGACCTATACTCGTACCCATCGCGTCTCGGGTTGGGTCAAGTCCATTGCCACCCTCACCATGAGCTTCTACTCTTTTTTTTTTTTATCATCATATACCCATATTATTGGCAATAAGGTCATAATCACCCGCCATTAGATTTTAAGTAATCTGATTTGTCGTTTAATAGCTAAAGATGACTACGAGTTCTTATTGTATACGATCCTTAATACCCCAAAATGAATAGGGCTTGAAGTATTTTATCTCTAACAATTTACGGGTATGGCTAACTGGACCCTGACCCGGATCCAAATAGTGTTTGGGTCTAGATTTTGGACCCAAACCCGACCCACGAGGTCCAAATGTTGGACCTTTGGACCCATACTTAGACTTGTGTTGGGTATACCTGTTGGGTCCCGGGTCTGGTCTGGATCCATTGCCACCCCTAGCTGTAGTTCTAGGAAATCGCCCTAGATTGTATAGAATTGACTTGAAGGATTAGGTTGATCATTATTCTATGTTGGGGCAGATTCAGTAGGAGGAATCGAACTTGAGATATAACATTATTAAATAACTACTCAAATCTAAACTTTAAGGACCGAGTTGATTCTCGGGTTTTGGGGACTTTTGTGCCTGGCATCATAATCTTCTTCACCATTTAGGGCCAACTTGCCACGAATTTGTGAGCCTACTCGCCCCAAGTTGACACCCGATTCCAAGTTCTTACATACTACTTAAATAGTTAAAAACGAGCTATTACCCCGTATTTCAAAAATGGATCGATGACTAGCATCAAGCATCGCAAAAATCGGTTTGAATCGGTGAATGAGCATTTTTACTATAGCAAACATTGTTTTACTGTAGCAAATGGCTTGTTCTCTTCTAGACGTGAATGATTTTTTGTATATTAATAGAATCGGCAAAACTGATTCCCTGGTTAGACCGAGCCATTCCGTGCCGATCAAGAGTTTTTAAAATCACTCCTTGGAAAGCCTTAGAAAGGTACGAAGACATGTAATTGCTATTGTGATCTTACTTTTATGGCAAAAGAATGGCCAACATTGTTAACGTATGCATGATTTTCTAGAGGATCATGGCTATTTGACCTTGAAATTTTTTGCCATTTGTCAAAATTTTATGTGGGATACATGGGCGCCATAGGCGATGATACAGTGTAATACAATGAGGTCATAGAAATTTATGCTAGGGGATGGGTTTACTTGTTAGTTATTGGCATTTGTCCTTAGTGAAGCTTGATGTCTACATCTCATCAACTTTGATTATAAGTCTTAGCTTGAGTTGGATCAAGCTTTAGCTATGGCCTTGACCAAATTTAACTAATATTTATATTATGACCGTTGGTGCATAGTGGTATGCATTTTGTTTGTGAAACCTTGGCTGGCATTGGGCAGGTCGGCCCAGGCCCCTGGCCACATTTTGTAGCCTAAGAGTAGGCTTGGGCCGGGGCCGGCCTTGTTTAGCCTAGGCCAGCTCTTTGTTCCTCTTTTCTTTCATTTTTTTTTTTTCTTGAATTGTACTTGACTGAGGCCTGCCCTATATGGAGTGGGTCTAGGCTAGGGTGAAGACTGGCCCACCCCATCCCTATGCATGTAATACGGACTCCTCAATACAAATTAGAACTAAATTTCATTGGGGGTTGTAAGCAAAGAGATCATTACTTTTGGTACATATATGTGGCGAACACCCCCAAGCCTTGAAATGTAAAACTAAATGATTGGAGTGTGGCATTTTTCTACATAAAATCATATGAAAATTTGATTTCCTGTATAACGATTAGGGGTAACTGTGGTTTTATTGTACCCATGATAAATAATCTTATGGGATTGTTTACAAAGGGATCATTTGTTTTTTGTACATGGAGGTCATATTCATTTCCACTCATTAGATGTCAAATTGGATGGCTGAGGGTGAGTCACGAAGTCCAAGATTTTTATTTTTTTTTGAAATTTTGTGTATTCAATGACACTCTTGCAACCATCCATTTTGAAATTTAAGGGACAATAATGATTGTGACTTCTATGTACAAAAAATAAATGATCTCTTTGTAGATAATACCTAATCTTATCTCGATAAGTATATATTTGGTTTGGGTATGTTAAAGTCGCATAAGAACATTCGAATCAGAGTATGCCAATAACAGCTTGCAATATATGATTGAGTTCTCATTCTACTTCTCGCTATAAGCACCTATGCCATTGATTAAAGTTTTGGGCAATGTAATAATATTTTTCTTAATGTTATTCACTATGCATTATTTTTCTTAATGTTGTTCACTAGTTAAATCACCAGCTGAGAACTTGGTCCAAATGCAGGTGATCTTGGACAAACAGGATGGACAAAGACAACACTGCAACACATTGAAAATTCAGGCTATGACATGCTATTGTTGCCGGGTGATCTCTCATACGCCGATAGTATTCAAAGCCTATGGGACTCATTCGGTCGCCTGATTGAGCCCTTGGCTAGCCAAAGGCCATGGATGGTGACACAGGGAAACCATGAGATAGAGAAGATTTTTCTGATAGCTCCTGACTCTTTCAAGGCTTACAAGGCAAGATGGCACATGCCCTTTGAAGAGAGTGGCTCGGATTCAAACCTGTTCTACTCCTTCGAGGTCCCTAGTGTCCATGTTCTCATGTTGGGCTCTTACACCGACTTCGATCAAGGATCAGCTCAGTATCAGTGGCTTCAATCTGATTTGGCTAAGGTTGATAGGAAGAGGACACCATGGCTTCTTGCATTCATACATGCTCCATGGTACAATACCAATTCTGCCCATCAGGGGGAAGGGGAAGACATGAGGAAAGCCATGGAAGAGTTGCTTTATGGTGCAAGGGTTGATGTTGTGTTTGCTGGTCATGTCCATGCCTATGAGCGTTTTGTAAGTTCGTAAAGCCTGAATCTTTTTAGTGTTATTTGTTACTGTACAATGCATTGCATAATTCAAACTTTTTTCTTTTTAAATAGAAAGGGGCTGGCGTCGTTGGATAGCACTTCACACCTTCACCACCACCACGTTGTGGTTTCCACTTCGACTGACACCACCCCACTAACACCTTCAAAAACTAATTCCAAAATTATTTGAAAAAAAAAGGTAGGGGCTATCTTTCCCACTGAATTACCTAAAAAAAACTCTTTTTTTCATATAGTTGGTTACCAGTAGTACTATGACAATGATTAGTATTTTTTATTTTTTTTAGAAAATTGCTTCTATTAATAAGGTGTTATGTTTGTGAATTTTAGGCTCAAGTGTATAATAACCAACCTAACAATTGTGGTCCGGTGCATATCACGATTGGTGATGGTGGCAACAAGGAGGGCCTTGCAAACAAGTATGCTAATCATATTCACCCTCTTACTAACACGCATTTTACTAGATTTCTCTTGTTATTTTTGTTTATTTTCAACGAAATGTAGTATATGGGTCGGGGATTACCCTTTCTACATTTGCGTCTCCCGAGCGTAAACAATCCATCTAAACATGGATGTAAGTGATGGTACCTCCAAGAAAAAGGTAAAGGTAAATATTTCTTTTTAAAAAATATCATTTTGAGGTTTTTCTTTTTTAGCACATTAATGATCTTCATATTAGGGTTTGTATATTTCTTAAAAATCAGGGTCAAAGTTATATTTGATAAATGGATTAGTAAAAGGGGGCCGCATTTCTACATATGAGTCCAGGAACTCATAGAAAGTGTCTTTGAAAGGAGGACCGAGTATTTATAATTTGGAAAAGTACAAGAGGAGCACACTATATTTTCAATTTTTTTTCTTTTTCTTTTGAATGTTAACTAGGGATTTTAGCAAGAATTGAACTCTAAACCTCATGTTGTGGCGCTCAAATACCCTATTAAAATTTGGCAGACATTCAGTGTTTTAATGGACTTCTGAACGGAGGATGGATAGACCTCAGTCACCACGTTCCAAATCTGATAGCTAGGGAGTATATTAATTAACTTTTATAATTTTACGAGATTATTTATTTTTTGTACGTGGGGGTCATAATCATTTTTGTCTTTTAAATTTCAAAATAAGTGGTTGTAAGAGTGTTACTGAATAGTCATAAAATTCTAAAAAAAAATAATTCTTGGACTTTATGACACACTTTGTGCCATTAAATTTAAAATTTGACGTCTAACGACTTAGTATGATTGTGATCTCTATGTACAAAAGATAAACGGTGTCTTTATAGGTAATCCATAATTTTACATCCATTAATTACAAATGAACTTAAAAATTCTTAAAACTGTTTTGTTTTTGTTTTAAATTTAGGTTTTTGGACCCAAAACCAGGATGGTCCCTATTCAGAGAAGCCAGCTTTGGACATGGACAATTGCAGGTTGCAAATGAGACCCATGCGCTCTGGACTTGGCACCGTAATGACGACGATGAGTCAGTGGTGGCCGATCGACTCTGGCTAACTGGCCTTGCACATACCATTTGTGTCCCACACTAAGCTCTCACGACAAACACACTCAAGAATAGATGAAAGAGATAGAAAACACTTCAAGAATTGACGAGAGAGAAAAGACTCGAGAATTGATGAGAGAGAGGGGTGGTTGAATTGGTTTATAGAAAAGCCTAAAAAAATGGCACATTTGACACTCTTGATTATTAATATTTAAAGTAAAGCTTGCTTTTGGATGAGATTATGGCTCGTTTGTTTCAGTTAACAAAAGTTTGCTCTTAGGGGTTGTTTGTACGCGGCGAAAGTTCGACACGAAAATATTTACAGGGACAAAAATACTCAAGCATGGGTTTTCTAATGTTTGCTAAACATAGTCGAAATCATGTATATAAAGAGAGAATACATCAAACTTGAAAGTTTAAGATAGTTTCTATTTAAAAGTTTTGAAATAGTATCTCTTTAAAATTTAAAATATGATATATTTTCCCTCTAAAAATTGAGAGAGTTCCGCTATAAAAGTTTGAAATTTGAGATAGTTTAAAAATTTTGATATAGAAACTACTTAAAAATTTTAGAGAGAGGAACTATCTCAAAATCTTTGAGAAAAAATCTCTCTAAAATTGTAAGATATTTTCTTTTTTAAAAAAATTTAAAATTTGAGATAATTTTTCTCTCTAACATATTTTAGAAAAACACTATTTTTAAAATATTTTAGTATTTGCTCTTTTTAAAATTTGATATAGTGTCTCTCTAAAATTTGAAGATACTCCCGCTCTAAAACATAAAATTTAGGATAGCTTCTCTCTATCAAAATTTTTGAGATAGTTTCTCTCTCTAAAAAATTTCAAATTGTTTCTCTCTTTCTCTAACATCTAAGATATTTTTTCTCTTTAAAACTTAAACTTTGAGACAGTATAAATTTTGAGATAGTTTCTCTCTTTAAAATTTAATATGGTTTGTTAAACTCTGAGACAGTATAAATTTTGAGATAGTTTCTCTCTTTAAAATTTAATATGGTTTTTCAAACTCTGAGACAGTATAAATTTTGAGATAGTTTCTCTCTTTACAGTATAAATTTTGAGATAGTTTCTCTCTTTAAAATTTAATATGGTTTTTTAAACTCTGAGACAGTATAAATTTTGAGATAGTCTCTCTCTTTAAAATTTAATATGTTTTTTTTGTCTTTAAAATTTTAAGGACGTTCTCTCTTCAAAACTTAAACTTTGAGATAGTTTCTCTCTCTAAAATTTTATTACAAAATAAAAATTTAGGTAGCCTAAATTTTTTTAACCAGTTTCTCACTCTAAATTTTGATATAGTTTATCTTTCTAAAATGTTAAGATACTTTCTCTCTCTAAAACTTAAACTTTGAGATAATTTATTTTTCTAAAATTTTTGATATAGTTTCTCTCTCTAAAAAATTTCAGGTAGTTTCTCTCTCTAAAATTTTAAAATATTTTTTGTTTTCAAAATTTAAAACTTCAAGATAGTTTCTCTCTCTAAAATTAATGTATATAGGGTGCATTTTGTATAGAGCTAAGGCTCTAAACAATCAAAATAAAGTGAACAATCAAATAGTGTCGAGAAATGTTTTAATACTAGAAATCTTTGTGATAGCCTTAACATATATTTTTATCATTATCATCATTTTAGCGTTTTCACAATTAATTGTGGTCGATTACATGAATCTTGGTTCTCCATTATGCTTTATTAAAAGTCATATCCTAAAAAAGGTCATAAGTCTCCATCCGAAAATTTTTAAATTACAGTTTTTGAAAAACTGAAACTGGGTAGTTCGTGAAAATTGATAATTATGTCTTTTTTTTTTTATATATATATAAGTGTTAATGAAGTTGAAGAAAATGGATATAGGTATGTATATTAATGAAAATCTATAGGTATTTTTGTAATAACAATAAATATAATAGATATATATGTAATTTTTTTCATTATTCTAATACTTCAAATATAAATCAGAAATGTTAAAATGTCTTTTTGGTTAGTACGAATGCATAAATTTTGGCCTTATTAGGGTTCGAATCCCAAACAACTTATTGCACCTTTTTTTAACGAGGTGTGGTTTATATAAGGTTGCAACTTTCAACAATCCACTTAAGGCACACTTTCAAATTTTATTATAACATGTATTTTTGATGTAAAAAAATCTTAGGATTATCTAAAAATCTATTTTCATGTCTAATTATAAAATAAAAATGGACGATCTAGATAATATATTGCAAGATGTACTATTGTTGGGACAAAATCTTTTCCTTTTTTTTTTTTCATATTCATACATCTCGATGCCTTACAGTTTTTTTCAACATTAAAACAACTTTTTTTGATGGATTTAGAGGTGTGTAGTTCTACATTTTAATGTTGCAACCTTATGTAAACTTTTTCTTTTTTTAAAATATCATCTTTTTTGGAAGATTTTTTTTTAAAAATAGCCCCCATCCCCCGTCAGAATGGAAGCCAAGAGGTTTACTACATAAGAAGCACTACTAGCACACCAATCCGTTGCTTACTAATAAGAAATTGTGCTTCTACTATAAATATGTGGATTTTCAAAAATAAAAAATTCTTAATTTTGGGTTTTTGAAAAATCAATTTTTTTTTGAAACATGCAACTTTAAAGATTTCAGTTTTCGAAAACCTGGGGCAGTCTTCTTAAAAAAAATTGTTAGGAAGTAAAAAAATGGATATATGAGTAATAAAGAAAATTTTGATGCATTTATGTGAAACAATAAATATAACGTATATATACGTTATTTTCCCAATTCCTTTAATGTTTATTTAGGTGGTCGTGAACGAAATGTTTTGCTCTTTTTAGCTTCATAACGCTCGTTACTGTTATAAAATCGTAACGAACGAACCCCGTTCAGTTCCGCTAGCAAAGTTTTCAAAACGTAGATCGTTTATGTTTCATCTGGGGCCGAACCCTTGAGCGGATGAGACTGATCCCTTTCCCTGTAATTACCAAAAGCCCACTGCTAATCGGCGAATCAAACAGTACTCACACTGCTTTGCTCGAAAACCTTCCAAAAGTTTAGGGTTTTTTTAGAGAGACAAAATGCAGAGCGCGGGGACTGGGATACGGCTGTTCAGATCCTCCTGGAAATTGGCAGAGAAGTGCAGGAATTCGACACCTGCTTTATCCATCATTGACCATGGCGAAACTGTGAAAAAAAACCCTAATATTTTGGGAGCATTTGGAATGAGGAGTTTCTCTCAAGTGGCCTATTCTCCTGCGACTTTCATTGATAACGAAGAGGTCACAAGAAGGGTTATGGAATTGCTTAAGTCGAAGCCCTTCATAGACCCCTCAAAAGTGAGTTTTCTCTCTCTAAAAAATCTTGAGATCATTGTATTGGTGAATAGTTGCAGAGGTTCTATGAGATTTTATGTGGACATTGTGTTTTGATTGTCATCAAGATCTGAATATTGTGCACTTTCGAAGTGAATGCTGAAACATCTTTTTTTCCTTCTTAGTAAACATATTACTTTCTCTCTCTAAACCACAAAGATGGAAGATAACCTATTTCAGATCAATTTTTCTTTCTCTTCTCATGGATGATCATTATAGGAATTGGCTCACCTTTTCATTTGGAATATCTAACGATTAGAAATGCTCATTTTTTGTAATCATCATAATTAGGCCGATAACTGAGCAGCATTACATAGTCGTTGACACTAGAATTCAGTGCAACTGAACAGCATTACATGGTCGTTGACACTAGAATTCAGTGAAATTAAGATGCTCGGTACTCCATAATAGGAATTGGCTCACCTTTTCATTTGGAATATCTAACGATTAGAAATGCTTATTTTTTGTGATCATCATAATTAGGCCGATAGCTGAACAGCATTACATAGTCGTTGGCACTAGAATTCAGTGCAACTGAACAGCATTACATAGTCGTTGACACTAGAATTCAGTGAAATTAAGATGCTCGATACCGAGTATGGAAACTTCATACCATTAGATGTCAACTACACAGCCAATCTACAGTTTGATGAGGTTCAAAAATTATTATTCTGTAACTTAATTTCGATGGGGCATGTGTTAACTTTATGGGTGCCATTATCCATTCCTTCTCCTTTGTTCAGTTCAGTTTCCACAGTAATGAACGTTAGAAACAGACAAGAAAAATGAGAAAAGAGAAAAGGAAACAAAAGCAGTTAGTTGGGTCTGGACATGCTTACTTGAATTTCTATTTTTTGGAAGTTAGTTTGGTCTGGAACTGCTTACTGAAAATTGTTTGACCTTACCTTGATTTTTCTTTTTTCTATAGTTTCTTTTTAAAATTGATAATCTGTTTAAAGGAAGAGGTTCTGAATTTCCATGTTCACAGAAGTCTTAACAATCAAAAACAATGGTCCTGTTATGGCAAGATGTTTAGGGTTTCTTTTCAGTTATTCCAATTTTACAATGGCACATAACAGGAAGCACAATGAAGTGCAAAAATAAAGCTGAAAGAGAGAGAATGAAGTGCAAAAATAAAGCTGAAAGAGATAGAATGAAGTGTAGAAATAAAGCAGAGAGAGAGAGAGAGAGCTGGGGCTGCTTCCACGTTGGGGGGGGTTTGGGGGGGGGCGGGGGGGGGGGGTATTGAACTTCTATTGCAATGTTGCAAGGGTTTCCACTAGGACTTGCGAACAATGATATCCAGCGTATTGACATCCCTCTCACGATACTTGTATGTGCTTAATTTAGTGGTGTTACATTATGTCGACACAGATATTGATACTGGATACTCTAGGAGTACTTGTTATTATATGACGACATAATCATTGACAAATATAAAATGAGTATATTGCTAAGATTACAAATTAATGCTATGGTATGACTGTGCTGGATGCATGTATTTATGTGTTTTAGAATTTTTAACGGATATATTTATTGATGGGTGGGATAAAATACTTGTATCCGTCAGTGTTTCGAAAAGCGCTAGGCGAGTCCTAGGCGGCCTGGAGGGTCCGGGCCACCCAGCGCCTAGGCGGACGCTCAGAACCTGGGCGGCCCAATCGAATCCAAAAAGGATGCCCAGTCAAAGATGCTTCTAAGGACTCAAAATCTTCTAACAAAACACCCAATAGATTTATAAAACATCAAAACTTAAATCTAATATCAATGGGTTATGTTTTGATCAAATTTTGTCAACTTCGAAAACAAAAATATTTCCACCTCTGGGCGGGGCGCAGGCCTTGGGCTGGGCGCCCGCCTAGGAGGGTTCCATACCGCCTAGGCGGCTGCCAAGGGACTGCCGCCCAGATTGGCCGCCGAGGCCTGGGCGATGCACCCAGGCCTTCTGGACCACCTAGGCGGTATGCTTTTTGAATCACGAGTATTCGTATCCGTGTCTTGAATTTTGAGAAATCTTGAGTCGTATCCACGAAGTTTGTGTATGCATCCGTATCTTGGTCATAGTTATTGGAGGCAGGAGCGGTTTCGAGAGTAGGATCGGTTCGGAAATGCTGAACCGCCATAAGGTGAAGCTCCTTGGCGTTAGGATTGTCGTTTGTACATTTAACAAGTTAAATACCGAGATCCTAGCATAATTGGGAGAGAGATCCCATGCATTAGGATCAAGGTTTTGACTTGGAGGGATCTAAGCTCCACTATACATAAAACAAGATAAATTAATGGTTTGTGATAAATCCAGCCAATGCCCGCTCAATCTATTTTCGTACACTTTAGCCGATGACCAATGCATAGCTATAGTACTCCAATTTACTACAATAACATAGTTTAATAATATCATAAATTGGATTACTATGATATTAAACTATAGTTTTTTAATGCCATAGTTCCAGTATACCACGATGTGATATGCACCATGGTTTAACATATCCTAATATTGAGAGGACCAGTAGTTCAATGAATAGTGTAGCTCTTCTCCTTGAAGGGATCCTACAAGCACGTAGACCGAGATCCCATTTTATAGGGAGTGCAATCCCTATTTCTCGAAATCCAGCCCCCTCTAAGATCCCTTAGAGGAATCACGGGATCGAGTTCCTATGTGGGACCATGGCCTTACCCCCAAGGTTCCCACAACTATGATCTGGGTATCTTAGGTTACCACAATCCTTACTCTAGCAATCTCCTGGTATAGGTCCTAGATTACTGGCAGTTTGTTTTTTTTGAGAAATAGAGTCATGATTTGTATGACCCAGCAGTTGGATCCCATGTCTCATGAATTGTAGAGAGGCTAGCTAATATTCATTATGCTTCATCCAATTTGCCACCAACCTCCTTATTCCATCCACTAAAGAGGCCTGTGAAGCATTGCATTTACACTAACAAGTTGATATCCTCTTCTTGATGCTTGGATAATTGCTTGTGTCTAGAGTCTCCAAGACTTAATGTTATGGTTGTAAACATGCTGTTGCCTCCTTGATGACCTCCACAGACCTACTTGTGACCATGGGCTTCTTCTTCTTAGTTGCACTAATTAGCTTTGGATCACTCGCATAACAATAACTGAATAAGAAAAAAACCCACCTATTCTTGACACCCTTCTTTGAACCAAGAATGGTCTGAAGCATTTCCTGATTCCTTGTACCCGGATGGCAGAAGGAACTTAAGAAACCACTTCATGATGAATCTATCACACCTCTTTACTCCTAACAATTTAGATTTGGATCCTTCTTGACTAACGTAAATGTGCTGTTTATTGTGTAAAGCCTCCTTCCCTTATTTCATTTGATGTTCCAAACGATAACTTGTGTACAAAACACTTTGCAACTCCAATATATAAACCATCCTAGAAGTTAGCTGAACATCTCATTCCAAAATTATACAAAGTAGTGCTTGAAAATTTGTCACTATCAAGTCTGGCTTCATCTCATAAGTTAGCTGCTAAGTTAAATATCGAAGTCATTGTTTGTCATCTTCATTGGCTGCTACATCACTAGAAAAAATTGAAACATTGGTAACTGATGATAATTGATCAAAGAACAGGGAGTAAACATAAATGGTTTTCTTGAATCTAGAATCCTTGATGGAGCTATTTAACTTTTTAAACTGAGCACGCTTGAATCACATTTATGTCCATGTGGTGGGGTTTTTGTGTGCCCACAGATGAAATGTGTGGATAATGCAGTGGAGATTTTACAGAAAGAAATTAAAGGAGTGAACATTTGATTGAAAATTTTGGTGGAAGCTTACAAGCCAAGCTTCTAGCCTATTGGTTTAACCAGGACTCTCAAAACAAATAATATTCAACTCTGCTCCTAAATCCTCTACATCCTAATAATAATGGAAGATTTTACTTAGAAACTAAGAAATCCTAATCCTAAATAGAAAAGAAGTCTCAATTTAAAAAAAATCGTAATGACACTTTGACCTTCATAAAATAACTAAAGATTCAATAAGGGGATTCTAACTACTCCCCTAAAAAGCCTTAAAATCCTAAAAAGCAAAAAAAAAAAAACCCTAGAAAGATTAAAAACCCTAAAATTCCAAAACAAATCCTTAAAATCCAACAGGAAAAATTAAGAAATAAAAGGCATCTTGTCCTGCATTGGACTTCCTTGGTTGGAGTTAACTCATCTTCAAGTTTCGAAGTGTATTAAGATGCTTTCATATCCACAATCCTATTTAACCCAAATATTGCTCTGTGAGGTAGAGCCTTGAACCTGTGGTTTATGGGTGTTAGGAAACAATCCTTAAGCAACGTATCTTGATATGTACAATGAGGGATTGATACAAACTTGTCAAATTCAACTGTTCCAGAACTGTCATTGAAAATTCTGCTGAAAACAAACCAACAACCTCTTCTTTCATTAAAACCTGAATTTTCACCCATAACTTCCATGATAGTGGAGACCCTGAGGTTTCCTGGCTTAACTCACCATCTAGGGTTTTCAGATACCCCTCGCCATCACTATGTTCTTCATCCTCTTTAAAATCTGATCTCTTCTCAAACTCCAGCGGCAGTGTGTGAATCCTCGCTTGAGCACTTATCAAAGATCGGCGGTAATTCCCAACCACAACTTGCTGATTTTTGAAATAATTTGACCAGAATAAGGTTTCTTCACAATTTGTCTCTTCAAGATCACGACAAAAGTATCCTCACACACAACAAAATTACCTCTCCCCAGGTTGTGAAGTGAATTAAAATCTACTAATACTGACGCATCATTGTGATTAGATTTAGATCCAGTATTGTCATGAGCGACTGAACATCGATTAGAGCGGGTTGGGTGCACCTCATGCACCAGATGCTCGGATCTCCTTCGCTTGGACTATTTTTGACATACCTTGTGCACCAATTCTTCAATCTCTCTCTTTAGATCATTGAATTCCTTCCATATGACTTCTACACCATCACAACTAGCTCAGCTTCCTTGACCTCCTCCAGCAACCATCACTCAAAATTGCAACATATCTTTGGCTGCATTAGGAATGGGCTTGCTTTGATACTAACTAATGCAATGTAGATTTTACAGAAAGAAATCAAATAACTGAAAAATTGATTGAAAATAATGATGGAAGCTTGCAAGCCAGGCTTCTTACCTCTTTAGTTTAACTGGAACTCCAAAAAAAAAATAGATCAACTCTATTTTCCAAATCCTCTGCATGAACTCCATTTTATTATAAGACCTTACCTCCAAGAAATTCTGATTTCTAATTGAAAAAGAAGTCTTAATTAAAATATTCTTAATTACAGCAACTTCGTAATGACACTTTTATCCTTGGTGAAATAACTAATTTCTATAAGGACTCTAAAGTACTTTTCCAAACAACCCCTAAAATCCAAAAAAAAAAAACAAATCCTAAAGAGGTTTAATCAAACCCTAAAGTGAAACCCTTAAAATTCCAAAAACATATTCTTAAAATCCAATAAATAGGATGCATTCTTTCCCGCATCAATGGATGGGTTTCCTTGAAAATCATACTTAATTTATTTTTCTACTTTGATTGAATTCCTTTCATTTTTTATATATATTTTTTGGGCCAACAACACATACTTGTTTGCTTCTCCATCACTAAAATGCATACTATGGAAAATATTTTGCATGAATATGTTAGATTATATATATACTAAAATGCATGTTATGGGAGGTGAATTGAACAATTTTTGCATGCCTCTGTCGATCAAACTATGTATGTTGTTCGCAGGCGACATAGTTTTGATCGATGATACTTGAAGTGGTGTCAATACAAAGTTAGAACTTTGGAGGAATGCTCTAGAATCTAAGGGTTTTAAAATTAGTTGGACTAAGATAGAGTACATGAAATGTAAATTTAGTAATAATAGGAGTAGAGACGAGGAAGTAGTTAAGATTTGACTGCCAAGAAATTCAAAAAAGAGCGCACTTTCGATATCTTGGGTTGATAATCCAGGGAAATGAGAGATTAAGGAAGATGTCGCACATAGAATTAGAGCTTGGTGGGGAAAATGGAGATGTACAGCCAAAGTTTTATTTGATCGCTGTGAGACCAGCTTTATTTTATAGGGCAGAATGTTGGGCGGTCAAGAAACTACTTCCCCATAGGATATGTGGCTGAGATGAGGATGTTGAGATGGATGAGTAGCACAAAAAGAAGGAATAGAATTCATTTCTGAATACATTTAGCAGAATTTAGGAGCGTCGCCAATAGGCGATAAGATGAGAGAAAGTAGACTTAAGTGGGTTGGGCATGTACAACACAGATTCAGTACAACACGTGTCAGGAGGTGCGAGTCGGTTTAAGTAGAAGGCTCAAAAAGGGTAAGGGCTAGGCTCAAAAGGACATGGTTGGAAGGAGTGGGAAAAGATATGGGGACTTATGGGCTCACTGAGGGTATGTTCTTTGATAGAGCAAAATGGCGGACCAGGATTCTTAGCCAACCCCAAATAATTGGGAAAAGTCTCTGATGATGATGATGATGATGATGATGATATTGCTCTGGAATTTGGCTATCAGATAAACCTTTATTGTAGATGCATTAGAAACATGGTATTGTGTGAACCTCATAATGAAGGTTATACCGATGAACCCTATGATTTGGTTCTTAAAGTTGGATCTCCTACAAATGATTGTTCTCCATTAGCTAAGGTTTTAGATTTGCTAAGAAGTGCCAAATTCAGATGGCAATACCGACCCTAGTAAGCACTTTGGTAACAAAGATCAAATGCTGTCATCTATTTCTTGTTGAATGGTAAACAAAATGTGTTTGTCACTTGTGCATGAGTTTGTATTCATTTACATGTGTTCATGTTGTATAGAGTATAGCAAGTGAAGTCATTAGCACATCTAGAGATCCTATGCAGGCCTTCTGCATGGCAATATTTGCTTTAAATCAATGGAGGATTTTTTGTTTATATTGTTCAGGAGTAGTAGCGGTTCCCTATGTGTAAATACTAAATACTATAAGGCTTCATACCTTTTTTAGTTGCGACTAGTGGCCTTCTATGTTGAATAGTGGACTAGTGTTTAAAAAACGTTCCACCCAGCACCTAGACACCCAAGGAGCCCTAGGGCGCATGTTTAGGCCTGAGCATAATTCCCTAGGTGCCAGTACCTAGGCACCTGCCCAGGCGACCCAGGTGGGCCCCCAGTGTCCAGTTTTAGGCGGATGACCAGTGCTGTGGGTCCATTTCCGTCTTTAAAGTAGACCCCTAAGGGATTTTTGTATTATTGGACCCCCAAATTTGTTTTAAAAGAGTATTGGGGGGTATTTTAAACCCCTAAAGTTAAAAAAAACAAAAAATCTCTATAAGCCCTATATCAATTGATTATACCTAGTTTTGTGAATCAAAAAAAAAAAATACTGATGTTTGAAGAAGCATCCAAAAGCTTATGTTTTCTTATTGTAATTTCTAAGGTTTTCAAATGATTGGGAGTATATGTGATTATGGAAATGGAGAGTTGGAGACTAATACCGTAATACGGTAATACACTTAGGATTTTTTTTAAATTTTCCATTAAATTTTCTCTGATTTGAAGTTTTGAATTCTTAACATGCAATATGTTTGAATGAAAAGAGTTGGTTACAATATATATACATGCAAAAAATTGTAAAATTAATATAAATATATACATATATGTGTGTTTGGACAGCACATGCATGCATACATCTAACGAGTTTTCGCCACAGGGTGCTTGCCTAAACGTTTGTTTTTTGGAAACCTTGCAGTGGACATTCTAAATTCCTACACATTTGGGATTACACTATAGTTGCAATCAATAGTTCAAGACAAGAATTGGTTTTACTGTGTAGTTCTTGATCTGTTCCCGTTAATCTCTTAATGAAGCCCTTGCAATGACATGCTTGGTTATGCATTGGAGGTTGATGGTTTTTGACATGAAATGATATTCTTGTTGTATGCTAAATCTCTAGTGTATAAGATCCTTAAAAGATGTGAGTGCAACTAGAATGAACTAGATCACTTAATTATGTGGACATAAATCTGTTCTCTATTCCATAGGCTCCTGAACACGTCAGAACCAGATCACGAACAGTCAGGAAATGCATAATGAGAACAATTCAACAGAATACAAGACAATGCATAAAGATACCCCTAATTCTAGTGATTATTAACTCTACCCATGAACCTGATTTGGTTTTATTAATGTCACTTATGAATAGTGTTTTATATGCGATAAACATGGTGAATGTCTTGAGGTTATGATTAATAACATATACAAGGAACAGCATGGTTGAACAGAAAAAATACACTTTGAGAGGGAAGGAGAGAAAGGAAGGGGGTTGGGGGGAGAGATCATATTGACGCCCTCCTTCCTGCCATGGCTGCACCCTCCTTAACAGATACAGAGATAGCAAATTGATGCCCACCTAGGGAGGGGAGGGAGGGAGGGACAACCGTGTTTTCTTCTTCTTTTTTTGTTTTTTTTCTTTGTTTTTTTTGTTTGGGTTAAAAAATAGTTTTCTCATTTTTATTAATTGGTTTCTCTCTCTCTCTCTCTCACTCTCTCTCTCTCGCTCTCTCTCTCTCTCCCCCACCCCCTTCTATCTTCCACCAGCACCTGGTGGGTGGTTCCTATAGAGAGAAGCTACCTAAGAATGATTTGTCATCGAGTCTGAAACTACTTCTTACAAATAATTTGTTTATTCAGGTAAGCCCGACTGCGAGTTTTGAGGACCTAGAGTTAGATATCCTGGACAGTGCTGAATTGATGATGGCTGTCGAAGAAGAGTTTGCCGTTGACATACCCAATGAAGACTCTGACAAGATGGCCACCACTGCTCAAGTTATTGACTACATTGCTGCTCACCCCCAAGCCAAATAAATGCATGGTTGCTCTATCTGACTCTCTACCTCATGAGAGTAAGCTCTTAAACCATCTTGTTGTGGATTTTCTCTCTCTAAATAGAACTCCTAAACCATCTCGTTGTAGATTTTCTCTTTCAAACTTGAACTCCATAATGAGTTTGTTGTGGGTTTTCTCTCGTTAAAATTGGAGCAATTCACACTGAAATAAATTCTTTTGTTTTGCCATGGGGTGAACTTGAGGTAAACTTGTTAATGTTTCTCTCTTCTTAAATGGGGTCAGGTAGGTCTGTTGTTTGAATTCTTGAGTAATTTCACTCTGTTATTTTCTGATGCAGATTGTTCAAATGTTCAGTTGATGTCCATCTTGCAAAAATCCAATTAATGTTTTTTGTACAGGGAGAGGGATAATATGAACCTTGATTATAGCAAATTTACGGTCGTTAGTGTCTATCAGTGCAAAAAAATGGAATCAATAACTTGGATCTGGGAGGGGGAATCAATAACTTGGATCATGTTAAATTCTGGTGGGTCTTATTCTCTTTCTATCACCATCCATAGTTAAATTTGATGGTGATCGCATAATGACCGTACATTTACTATAGTCATGGATCATGAGATAACTTTCTTCCGGTATGTGTACTTTCTTCTTTGGGCTAGGCATTGACAAGGGGGCTGGGATGGAGGAGTAAACAATTTGCCTTCTGAAGCAAATACTATAATCCTTGTGTCCACAGGAAATTTATGGTCATGATGTCATCACTACTGCCAATTAACAGGCTAGACAGTGGTGGATAGAGAGGGTTACTCATGAGAACATCGTATGAATTTCATGGGTTGTCCCACTTTCTTGACAACACCATCTAATTAGTTGGTTGGATGGGCGATGAACCTGAGGACAATTGATTCACTATGGTCATGAGCATTGTTTTGTACTTTCCTTTTCTGAAAAGGAAGAACATGTGCACGGGACACTTGGGGCATCCACCATCCATTCTTATGATGGAAGATGGGGATTGAGTGCACCTAGATGCTCCTTCGTGGAGTTCCATGTAACACTTTGTTATGTTACACATGTTTTTTAAAAGGGGCATTTTATCAAGACACTATTTAACATTTTACCAGATATATTTTGATAAATTTCAAAACCTATTTTGATGTGTCATTCGATGGGCAATTTGAAATTTGATCAAAAGATTGATGGGCAATTTGAAGTTAGATTATAAAGTACAGGTGAGATGTTAAATAATTTAAATCATAGATGTGGTTTGATCAATTTTATCTTTTAAATTGTACCCTCCTTTTGTAGCTGCTTACAAAGCATGAACAGGAAAGGTATTTTCTACGTAATTTTTTTTGCTCAATGAGCTTGTTATCAAATATATTGAGCCGTATTTTAAGAACTTAGACGGTGGATGGAACCAGTCACTCACCTATAAACCATATGAGCTGGTTCATTCTTTGGGATTTTGTGTATTAAAATTTTAATATAAAAAATTTGATGAGAAGTGGTAGGAGCTGGGGCAAAACAGGCGCTTCTTAGAACATAATATTATCCCATTGGTCTTAAGCTTCAATGTTTTTTTGAAGATAATTGAGGTAATCATGAATCCTGATTTGTCATTCTGCTCAAAATTTTTAATGTTTTTATAGGATCATTAGATCCTGATAGTATAATTGATAATAACTATTAGATCCTGATAGTATAATTGATAATAACTATTATACACCTCACATTTCTTAGTGCCGCGAGATTGTCCCAATCTTTTTTCTAATGCCATACTAGTTCAAAGAATGTTAGGGTCCATGTTGTAATTGAAGCATACATTTTAAGTGAAATTTATAGAAAAACAAAATATTTCTGAACTACTTTTTGATAGAGTGTAGTGTACTTTAATTTACTTTGTTCAAGGATACTTCTACACCTATATAAAATGTAAAAAATAATTGAAAAAAATAAAATTACCAAAATACTCGTGATCTTGTAGGGATATTTTGGTATTTTTACTATTTTTTTACATCAATTTTTTTTACAGGTGGTGAGAGAGACGACCAAATTTCAGAAATAAGAAAATTAAAGTATATTCCTAAAAGTGGGACTAAATATGGAATAATGAAAACTATTTTTAAATTCTAAAGTAAAATGGATTTTTTTTGTAATATTTGAATTTTATTGAAGCAATTTTCTTAGAGGTTTTTACCGACACTCAATTTGACATTATTACCATCATGCACTGATGCTCTTTGGGCCCATAACCCTGCCAAAAATACACCGCCCATTATGGATTTGGCATAGGGGCTGGATAGTAACGTGACGAGTATATATTTATCATTACCACCAGCTAAAATCTGGTACCACAAGTCACAATCTCTTTGGAAGTTACCATACCAAATAATTATCACTGACCATTCTCTTGAAATTTCAGTAGGTCACGGCTAAAGCTTCGAAATTTTGATATCAACTTTCCCCAACTAATGAGTTTTTTTTTTTTCTTTCTTGAAAAGTTGAACCGGAGTGGTTAACCAGACATGGGGCCGGAAAAGGTTCAACCTGCCTAACCGGCAAATTGGTTGGTTCAACCGGTCTAACCGGGTAAGTCTCCGGCGGTAAAAACAAAATATAAAAAAAAATATAAAAAATATATTTAAAGCATGATTAAATAAAACACATCTAAATGAAGTTGAAAATTAATTATAAAAAAAATTTCAAAAAATCAATTTGTGTCCGGAGGTAATTTTGAATTTTTTTCAAAAAAACAAGAAAAAAATGTAAAAATAAGTATTAATGGCGACAACAACTTCCCATCCTTTCCAAAATGATGAAAACATTAAAAAAATACATTACAAACAAAATCCATTAGTTTTTGGATTTTATATAATTTGTTTTGAATTTTTTTAAAATACCTAGCCGGTTCACCAATACAGGCCAACACTGACACCAGCCGGTATCCGGTTCAATTAACCGGGCGGCTAAAATTCTAACCGCCCGATTTTTCTTACTGATTTTTACCCCTGACCTGGTGGTTTCCTCTCTCTCTCTCCTCATAAGAAATACAACGAAATTTGGATTACTGTTGGCGTCTGCATGAGCAACATGTGAGCAAACCGAAAGCTCCTGTGAGTCATAAGGGAACATCATTGCTTCTAACATGTGAATTAACGTGTAAATCTATTTCATAAATCTCTCTCTCTAAACGGGCCGGGCAGCCCTTGGCCTGGCTTAAACTGGCCGCGAAAACTTGGGCCAAGCCTGCCCTGGCCTTAACTTTGGGCTGTGGTTGCCTAGGCCTCGGGTCATGTTTCATGGCCTAGGCTCTAGTTTTTTAGGGCCTGCACGACCAGCCGAACCAGGCGACCCGGCCCATTCCTACCAGTCTCTAAATTCTACCAAATTTAGATTACTATTGGCGCCTACATGAATAAAATGTGAAGCTCTTGGTGAGTAACAAGTGGAACATCATTGCATCTTACATGTAGTTTAACATGTGTAAATCTATCTCACATTACTATCCATGCAACCTTATCATTTTAATCATTAAACCTCACCTTAAATCATAACTTGCAATAAAGCAAGCTCTATAAGAAGAGGCCTAACCCATAGGAAGTTATGAAGGTCGAAGTGAAGAGACGCTTCATCGGCACAACCTTTGATAAGAGCTTCATAAGGTTTACCTCTTCTTTTTAACTGACTCTTTGCTTTGTGCTTTTGAATCTCTTTACTTTCCTATATTCCTTACTTACAACTTTTTATTGTTGGTTTGTATATATATATATATATATATATATATATATATATATATATAGATGGGGGGGGACACATCGTTGGACCAGCAATGACCCCACTACCTTTGTATGTTATATGTGGCGTAGGTTTTGGTGCATGGCCTTCTTAATATTTCTCATCTCTCTCTTTCTCTCCCTTCTTTGTGGGTTTGGTTGGGATGTGTGTATGTGAAAGTATGAGCCACTCTTAATTCATGGGCTCCCATGCCAAATGGTTAAATGGTCTTCTAAAAGGAAGAGAGAGAGAGAGGGAGGTTTTCTAAGAAGGGTAGAATGCATGCTATAGAATATGGGTACGACGAGGTGCCTAACTAAGTTCCATCAAATGTAATGTGTGGAGAGAGATAATAGGTATCCGCAAAGGTCTTCTTAGTTAAAAGTGAAGAAGAAAGAGAGTGTGTGTGGTGGTCTTCTAAGAAGGGTATACTATTTATTTGATATAGAATATGAGTGTGTGTGGTGTTTCGTATTAAGGGTAGAGCCCTTGATGCGAATCAGTGTTCGAAAAATCAAACGGGCCTTAAAAACATTATGAAGGCTGGCTCTGAGTAACTGGTAAACCGGCCGCTTAGATTGGGCCTAATCGGGCAAGTTTTGGATGGTTAAAAACATGTTTAAAAAAATAAATAAAAATAAATCTAAAAAATTATATATAAAGTATGATTAAACAAAGCACATCCAAATGAAATTGAAAATTAGTATTAAAAAAAAAGAAGATAAATCTGTACTCAAAGGCATTTTTAATTTTTTTACAAAATATTGGAAAATGAAAACATAAGTGTTAAAGACAAAATACTTTTCAATTTTTTCCAAAATTTACTAAAATGATAAAAACATTTAAAATGGATTACAAACAAATATCTAATTTTTTTATATTTATATGATTTTTTAAAAAAAAACCCAACTAGATTATTCAAATTGGCCCAAAACCGATCCCCATGTTACATTTACTTATGGGCGCAGTTGGCATACGGATGCATCCGTAGTTGTAGAGGTAAGGTGCACCTTCAAATTTTATCGTGATATATAATTTTGATATAAAATATTCTTAAGATTATCTTAAAATCTATTTTGATATTTAAGTATAAATGTTTAAAGTTAAAAAATAATTAAAATAAAATAAATCTATAAACCTATGAAAATCTTAAAAATAAAAAATAGATAATGTGTTGTAAAATACATTATTTTTTAAATTTAAATTTTTTTTATTTTTCGTGGTCACACAACTGGATGATGGGTTTTTGAATATTAAAACCACCTTTTCTGATGAATTTATTAGGTGCATCCGTAGTTGTACGTTGCATCCTTTGTAAACTTTTTCCTTCACTTATATTAATAATACAAGAGGGGGAGAGGGGTTCTGTAAGAAAAAGAAGAGAGAGAGAGAGAGAGAGAGAGAGAGAGGGGTGATCTAAAAATAAAAGGGTACTTGCCTGGCTTTGACACAAGTAGGGACCCTCAAATGTCACTCAGTAAGTCTAAAACCTCTGTTCCTTTACAAGAGAGGAGGAGAAGAAGAAAAGGGTCCCCTTGTCGTGCCATGACAGACTTTTGAGGGACAGTCTTTCTATGGATGACGTGGGATGTTAAAAGGCAGTCAAGCCTATTCTCTTCTCTTCTCTCTCTACACCTAAAAAAGTGGCCGTATTTTTAAGACAGCACAAAAGTCATGATTTGATGGAAACTCCCATCAATTGCAATAGAGTGGTGAGGACATGGCCATATTAATAAGGGTGCCGTTTGCGTAGAGCCTAGGCTCTAGACATTCAAATTAGAGCTTATTTTAAAAAAAAATGTGGTTTTGATATTTAAAATTTTTATCATAATTTTAAAATATTTATTTATAAAATTTAAAAAATAATACAAATCGATATATCTATAAAAATTTGAAAATTTTAAAAATTGATGATTAAAAAATACGTTACAAAATAAACTATTTTCAGACAATTTTTTTTTTTTTGATGTCGAGATGATGATATTTAAACATAAAAAAAACCTCTTTTAATGAAAATTTTGAAATAGACTAAATTTTTTTTCGTTTAAAGCCTCTGCTCTAGATATATGCTTTTACCTATTAATAATAGCCAGTAAGTAAAGTCTTCATAACATTTCTAAGAAGATCCATCCAGAAGCACCTCCGTAGTTATGTTTCCTTGAAAGGAACTGCACATATCCAAAGGAAGAGAGAGAGGGTTTCATTTCAGAGAGAGAAAATCGATAAGGTTCCTAATTTTCCATTTTAGAGAAAGAAAAAGCATAAAAAAAAAAAATCCATTTTAGAGAGAGAAAAGGGGATGGGGTGTGGAGTTCTAGTCTTCCACACGTGTCTTTAAAACGAAGGGTTAACAGCAGTATGACTCGACTTTTTTCAACAATTTAATCGAATACATGGAAGACTTTAAGAGAGAGAAAGCGTTTTAGGGATGGGTGCATACGTGTCTTTTGGTGGAAGTCACAATTGAGGTGACCAAAACACTCGACTGCAACTGATACTTGAAAGTCGCCTTCTGTACTCGCTACTAAACATTTCTTTAAACTACTCGCTCTCGAAAGGCGTGTGTTAAGCACCTTTTAGCAAGATATATTTAGAGGTGAGGTTTGCAACCACCTTATACTTTACAAATAAGGTTTATTTTTTAATTTTTATTAATTGTTTTAGAGTTCAAATTTTTATCGAAAGTTATTAGTATAAACATTTATATTTAACTTTAACAATAAGTTGGAGTGGTGGTGGTATCATCATTTAGAGTGACAGCTTTCATTGACACCAAATACATTTAAAAACCACCGGCTTAGAGTCGCAGCTAAAATAACACATTTAAAAACCAGAAACCATTTGTAATCCTCCCTGATTCTTGAGAGAGAGAGAGAGAGTGAGAGTTACAAAAAGGGGAGGAGCAGTTAATTGTGTAAAAATTAAAATAATTAGTCGATAAAAGAGAGGTGTTGCAAGGAAAATGGATCACAAAAGAAAAGAAAAGTGCATTGATGGAGGGAGGTTGCAACTCTGAAGAGGGGGGGGGGGGAGGAGAAGTCGAAAGCGAAACGCAGAGAGGAGAGAGAGAGAGAGAGAGAGAGAGAGAGAGCGGTCGGGTGGTGGACGATATGAGTGAGCGTGCGCTGCTCTTAACCAAACCTAACTACCACTCCGCCCCATCTATTGCGAATCTTCACTTCACCACCCCCCATCATCACGCCTCTCTCTCTCTTCCCCATCCCCCATTATCACCATCATCTCTGTCCCTCTCATCACCATCGCGCATTTCACCATCCACCATCATCTCTCTCTTGTTTCTCTCTCTAATCCATACACATTGCATTGCATTCGAATTGGGTTTGGGTCTCTCCTGCCCTCTTCTCTCCTTATGGCTGGTTCCGCTTCTTGCGCTGGCTCTGATCATCATCATCCTACGCAATGCTCTCTCTTTCTCCATAATCATAAACGAGCCGCCTTTCGTCCTTTGCCCCAAATCATTGTTGCAGACAAGCCGCCATGACTCCTCCTCCTCCTCCATCTCTCCCTATATTTCTACCCCCACGCACCCCCCCTTCTCCCCACTCCACCATCTCTCTCTCTCTGCACTGAGTTTTCCTCTGTTGTTTGGGCTTAGCCAAGCTCCCCCTCGATCTGAAGGTCCACCTACACAAAGGTTCTCTCTCTCTCTCTCTCTCTCTCGCTACCTCTTTAACAGGCGAATTGAGCATAAGGGTTTCGTGGCTTCTCTATTTCTTTGATCTGGGTTATGTTTATTGTAGGCTTTCTTCTTTCTTCATCTATTATTAGCTTGTTTTCCATGAAATTTTATCCAATACTGGAGTTTATCACCACTGGTTTTTAGATTCGTGGTTATTGCATAGTTTGAGCTCTGGATTTCTTATTATGGATCAGAGTGGGTTCCATTTCGTTGTTTATTGTTCTATGTTTTACCCCTCTCTCTGATAGTGTGCTCCGGCAGGAGCATGAAATCTTTTGGCAATGTATTGTATGGAACTCAAATTTTTCTTCATATTCCTGATTACTGTGAATAGCAAGTAGGCCATAAATCCCGTATGTTCTCCTTTAGATTCCTACTTTACAGGCTTGAAATTATTGCCTTTTTGGGCATTTCTATAAAGATGAGTACTATTTAGTTTTCGATTCATTTCCTCTATGAGAAACGAATGCCTGCTTTTCCACACTAAGTTTTTCTAGATCTTTGCCCTTATGAAGCCCCCACCAATTTTTCTTCCTTGTGCTCCCGCGGGAGTAAATTGTACAGCTGCTGCGTAATTTCGAGTGTATGCCTGATTTGTTGAATATCGTACTTGGATGGCAGGAAGAGAAGAAGAATGGATAGGCTAAATTTGAAGCTTTACTTGAAGAACAGGTCCATCATAGAGGAGAATGAGAGGCTGAGGAAGAAGGCCCTCTTGCTCAATCAAGAGAACCAAGCCCTCCTCTCAGAGTTGAGGCAGAAACTCTCAAGCCCAAATGCCAACCCTAATCCTAACCCTAATCCCAACCCTAACAATGGTCATGTCTCAGATGCTTCCCCCAATTCTCGCTAATTGTCCCACTATGTTTTTTTTGGTCTCTCTCTCTCTCTCTCTAGGTTACTACTTTTTTATACTTTTCTTTTGGGGTCGTGAAAGTTTATTAGGTCTTTATAGGTTCTTTTGGTCTGGGTTAATATAATTAACACTAGTTTCTCTTTCCCTCCATGAATGTGTTGGTTTGTCCTTATGCTCTATCTCTAGGTTGTCAATGCTGTAACACATTTCTTCTCTCTCTCTCTCTCTCTCTCTCTCTAGGTTGTCAATGATGTACATCTCTCTCTCTCTCTCTCTCTCTCTCTCTCTCTACATTTGCTCTCTCGCTAGCTAGGAATTGAACCGGGAATGCAATGGTTTTTGGGCATCTTGTATTAACTTTTAAGTACGAAATGTCCACATGTGATGTACAAGCTTCCCATTGAGGAATATAACGTGGCCCTTCTTATTTTGGTGTTTCTTTGTTCCAATCTTTGCCCTCTGAATACCCCTCTCTTTCCGGTATGTTTGAAATGGTTGAGCAATGATCCCTAGGGATAGGAAAGGGGCCGGGGTCCCTGTGTGCTCTTGCTATCCCTTCCTACCGCTGATTCCCCCAATAATATAACATCTTCGAAATGTACCTCCCTAATCTATTAAAAAATAGGTAGGGGCTTGTTTTCCCAACTAAATTGCCCAGAAAAAAAATGATCCTTAGGGATTAAAGAAAAACAATTTCGAATCTAAAAGAGTAGATTTGTTTGATTTGTACTTTGTTTAAATTATACTAAGATTGACTATGTTTAAGTATCTTCGAAAATAATACTAAGATTGACTATTTTTAAGTATGTATAGATTTGTTTGATTTGTACTTTGTTTAAATAATTTGTATAAATCTTGATAATTTTTTTTTTTTTAAGCTATCATATCATAAAATGAATTTTTGGCGCCTGAGCTTGCATCTGGGAGTCAATTGTAGAGATCTTCCTTACTTCTACAGTATATATTAGGAAAAGCCTATATAAGGGTGAGGCCTTAAACCATCTAATTAAAGGCATACTTTAAAAATCTACTAGAAAAGGTTGGTATGATGTTAAAAAATCCTTAAATCGATCCTTTTAATCCTCAAGATATGGATTATGGGCGAGTGCATTTTAAGAAATGGATCTAGTGTATTTTTTGGGTGCAATTTGTATATAGTGAAAGCTTCGAACGATCAAATTAGAGCCCACCTTCAACTGATGTTGAGAAAATGGAGTTTCTATGTGAGAAATCTTTGTGCTGGCTATAAAATATATTTTTATCTTTAATTATAAAATTTTAAACTTTAAAAATAGTGAAGATCAAACAAATCTATGGGAATTTGAAAATCTGAATTTGAAAATCTTGAAAATTGATGGTCAAAATATGTTTTACAATATGTATTATTTCAAAACATGAATTCCACTGTTTTCCCATATCCATGTTTCTCATAGTTGAGATGATCAATTTGAGAAAATTTGGGAATCAAAACCTCTTTTAATGAAATTTTTTGAGGTAGGTTTTAATTTGATTGTTTAGAGCTTTGTTTGTATATAAAACTTTCCCATTTTTTAATGTATTATTTAGACTATTAATTTTTAATATTTTTAAAATTTTATATATTTTAATATTTTCAAGTGTTTATAGATTTCTTCAATTTATTCTATGCTATTTTTAAAGCTTTAAATTTTATGAAGCTTACGTTGAGTTAGCGCCTAGTGTATCTCACTTTGAGCTCGACGCATACAATAATCAAACTAAAGGCCCAGTCTTGGCTTGGCTTGGCTTGTCAAGCATAAAGAATATTACTCAGGATTGGCTCATTGTGAGGCAAGCAAAGCGGCCTGAGCTAGCTTTGCGTGTTAATGGCCCTACCCCGGTATGAGGAGAAGATGAGACTTGCAACAAAGAGAAACATCAAATTCCAAATATTCTGTATCCGTAAATCAAAATTTCCTCACATTAACAAAATTAATGTTAAAACATCCAAGAAAAGGAAAACACAAATCATACATTCACCAGCTCGAGGATGCTATCGGTAAGTCATTTCTGATCACCTTTTCTCTATTGATAAACAAATCAGGAGAACCACTCCTATTCCCCATCAATACATAGCTTCTTGTCAATGCTTGAGAACATCTCAAAGAAAGCCTTAAAATGCTTGTAGGCAGTGTCGACATCTTCCCTTCCACATATCTCACGAACACTGCCATAACGATGCAAGACACTAAAGACCGCATTTCATCGGATAATTAAACAGATTTATATTTTTTAAACAGAGTAGTGTATCATAGAGCATAGCTGGGAAATCAATGGCATAAAACAAGGGTAAATATATAATAAGATTGTTTACTTTTGGTACATAAAAGTCACAATTACCTGTAACCCAGTATGTGAAATATGACGACTCGGTTTGTGCCATTGACGGCGTTCAAAATCGGAGAATATTTATTTCAAAGTTTATACAGAGTAATGAGATGTCCCTAGACACCTGTTTCATGCCAAATAGCTAAAGATGACTATGATCTTGTACCAATGTAAACAGTCCTATAATACAGAAACCCTAGTAAAAGGGTACATGAGTTGATCCACGATTTTCCCTATTTTGCTAAAAACATACAAGGGTCAACACTTTTGAGGTCTAAACTTGCTAAACAAGCTGTTCATTGATATCTATGTGCAATAAATGCTACAATGAGTTCTTTCAGCCACATTGACTTTCCTAAACACTATCAGAAAGAAATTGCCAATGAAAACAATCACTAGAATCTCTCTCAAGTATATTTAGAAGCCTCCATGGTCTAGGAGGAGACCAGCGCACTCGTCTAATCATGTAGGAAAGAGATCCCTCTTCATTTAAGGGGTCCAACGATTCCATTAGTCCAACTAAGTACCACCTAATTGGTCCACTCATTGTGGCTAAGTTCGAGTACTAGCAAACAATTTGCACCTTGGAGAAATTTTAACTCTCCCAATAAAAGTAATCCGAAATGGGGAAATGACAAAACCTATCACATCTCACAATCTCATGGACTGGAACTTAGTAACTAGTTTGTATAAATTACAACCCAAAGATTTAGACATGGCATGTCTTCTCCGTTTAGTGGTCGTAAGGGTTCCATTTATTCCTTGAAGAACACATTACTCTTCATGGACGACACTCTCAATACCTACCTTTTGTTTAAAGTGTTTACCCCTACCTTTTTCTCCTTAAAAAACAATATATCAGAGATTGATGGATAAATCAGTATGCTTTTTAACTAGGAAAAGTGATTAGGATTTGTCTACTCAAACATTTGTCAGGCACTAAGGTGGAGGTGAGGAATGCACCTGTGCATGGATAGTTGAGGAATACCACAATCAACAGTCCTAATACCAACCCCTGAGGCAAGTATAGGACCAATGGTAGAACCACAACCCATGTCATTTCTTACAACAAATTCCTGCATACATTGACAAGTTCGTGAGTATCTCAGCAAAAACGATACTGGCTGATGATATAAGAATCCTAAATGCCGATAAAAACACTAAAAAAAAGAAGTGAAAAAACGAATATCCTGAGACGATAATCCCATCCCTAACAAACTTCTTTAGTGTAAATTATCAAGACAATAAATCGGTATATGAAGAAGATTTAGATGCATTTTTCTAAAAATCTTGCTGAGGCTTCAAATACAACCAGATAGTCAAACTTAAGACAAAGTCAAACAGAAAAAAGACCAATAAAAAAATGCATGAAAGCATAATTACAAATTTATCCAACCACCTAATAAGGCTTAGAGAAAGGCATCAAAGAATATTAAGAGAAGCAAAATCAACAAAAAGCTGAATGTAAAAGAACCAAATTGGCAATAGCTAAACCTGAGTAGGAAGGTTGCAAGCACTTGCGATTTCTTTGAACAGAAAGGCTGTCACAGAATTTGTTGCATAACGCTGGTTTGCGTTGTGCTTGATGACAATTCCTTTCTGCAATACTGGTCTGTGCTGGTCTTCATGTTTCTCAGGAAAATTTGGGTGTATGCCATGAGCCATGTCAGCAGACACTATTTTGAGAAGAACAAAAAAGCCTCAGTTACAATAATAGTTCAGTTCATCTTCGAGGAATGGAAATAGAAAGGAAAACATAAACAAACTGAGTCATAGTTCAGAAGCCCATTTGGCACTCTCTTTTAGTAATATGTT